GGAATACGAGGTCTCGCAGGTTTAGTGCAACGTCATTAATGATTATGCAAAACAGTCACACGACGTTGACCGCCAATGATGCGAGCAGTCCGAAGAACTGGCCGCAGAAGACGACGAAAGAGCAGCACGGCGGTATGCGGTCGAGGCGCATCCAGAGCCTAGACTCGGGTAAGTTCCTGCAGCTGAACGACAAGGACATCACTCTGATCGCCGAGTCATGGCGAAAGATCGAGGACCGCAGTCTGTGGGCGCAACGGCTGTTCGCCAAGCTGTTCGTTTATCGTCCGCAACTGGCGAGCATCATGAGCTACCAGGACGTGTCTGGCAAAAAGCTGCTGTCCAACCCCAAGTTCCAGAACTTCTGCCAGCGCTTTGCAGATTTCTGGCAAGACGTCGTTTCTGGACTATGCGATCGTGGCACTGACGACGACTGGAAGCAGGTGGTAGCCCTGATTCGCGAGTTGGGAGCTCGTCACAGCCGCATCCCTAAAATCACGTTCGAGGCGAGCATCTGGCTGCACATGAAGAGTGAAATCGTGCAAAGCATCACTGGCTTCAAGGACATATACCGTGATGAGCTGTGCTACAGCTGGAACAAGCTACTCATGTTCGTCGTCACTGAGATGAAGGACGCCTTCAACGAAGCGGTGCGACACCGGTGCCGATCCGTCGACGGTCCTCTGCCCTGCGTTGGCATGTCGCTGGAGGAACAGACCATGAAATATTGTCCGGGTTCGTCACTCAGCATCTTCGAAGACACCCGTGAGGCTGAAAGGCGTGAAAACAGCCCCGTCAGCCTGGACAGAAGATACTCACATCCAGAATATGCTGATAACCGCGATCACTGCTCGCATGATTCTTCCTCAAGCTTAGGCGAGGTGAAGGATTCCGCTGCCCGTAAAATTCCAACGATCATGCGCGACACGCCAAAACTACAACTCGACCATTTTCTACCCTACCTGTAAGCAAGCCTTCAGAGTCTCTGTTAAAGCACGCGTCTTTCGACATTGCCTCTAGAGAATTTCAGGAAATCGCTGATTGTCGATAACAGACGGCAAAAGAGGAAAACTCCCTTCCCGCGGACCGGAACCACAAGCATCTCCTTGCTTTCGAATGTGAAATAAAGCTAGTGTGCACAGTAACCTCACAAAAAATAATTGTTTTCTCTTCATTTCGTTTACAAATAAACAAAATGCTTATTTTTTTTATTATTGAAAGCGAAATATCAGATTTGGCAACAAAACCCCATTTAAATTCACTGCCAAGGTGACAACATGGGTAGTACACTATGCAGCAGATTAGGCACAATTTTGTCCTCCTCATTCTCCTTCTTTCACAAACGTTTCCTTCCTGATATCTTACCATGCGTGTCAAATACATAGCCCCGTTACCCCTGATCAGTGATTTACTCCCTATGTTTACCGCAGCTTTCATATCTTGATTAACCACTGCTACCTCGAAGACTCGTAAAACCCGGAGAATCAGAACCGCTTTATTGCATACGTTTTAGTTCGCGAAGATTACCACAATGACGATGCTTTTGTTATCATCTTTATTGTTTATTTTGTCCCGCATTACACAAACGAATCTGTTCCTCCTTCTCTTCATTTCCGTCTTCAGCTTCTTTTCTCTTCTTTCCCGCTGTACTTTCTCAACCATTTTTCTTTTCCTTAGCTTGTTCTTTTTCTGCTCTCTATTTTCCACATGTCAATCTTTAAAATACTTGTGTCACTTTGTCATCTGATCTGATCTGCCACGCAGACACAGTCAGCTGCGACCAGGTGTTTTGCGGCTTCATTTTATGATGCAGTGGTGAAGCCTGCATGCTCCATAAGGTGCCATCGGGAAAAATTTGTCTTTTCCAGTACCTTAACGATGCGCATCAAGGCTCATCTTTCCAGGCCTGCTGATATGCGATTTCGAAGCGCAGAGGCGATCGCTGATATGAATCTCTAGTACAAGCGAGAACCTCTCACACATTGATGCTTTGACGTATGTGCTTGATTTAGCGGTCTCTCACGGTACTCGCTTGGGAAATTATTTTCTGGATGATAGCACTAATCTACCGTATGGCAAATTTTCGCATTGGTTGTCGCGAATCTCATCAGCTAGATGCAGTACATCAGTTTTATCCAGAACGGAATTGTATCGAAGATCCATAATCGAAGTTTAAGCGCGAGTTCTGCGAAGTTCCATGGACGCTAAACAACTGTACGCGAATTTGCACATTGTTGGAATTTTTCAAGTCTGTACTCGATTAACTTTGCTTTGTGGTACCGTACTGGTTTTACTGATTGTTTATTTTGCTTCTGATTTGTTTCTTAGCTCTAAGCGTACAAGTGCAGTTGTTTTGTGATACGTACGTAGATTTGATAAATTGCAGTCTATACAACGAAGCATGAAAAATGTTTTCTGGGAATAATAAGAAAAGATTAGCCAGCGAATGAGTGGATGAACACACAACAAAGAGTGTGCGACGTCATTGCTTGAGTAAAAAAATAAAGTGGAAATAGGCAGAACACGATGCGAGAAAAACCGACCATCGCTGGACTTCAGAGGCATTACGCTAGGGTCCAAGAGGCAGTAAACGCTTCGTAGGAATACCATCATTTCGATGACAGGATCAGCTGAACAAAGTTCGTCAAAATCACTGTGGGTGAAAATGACAGAAAATAGAAGTCTCCAACAGAGTCTTCGAGAGGTCTTCATCAAACAGTTAATCAAAAAAGGCTGATAATTATTATACATATTTTATGTTGCTTTTTACTTCTTTTGTTAAAAAACAGGATTATCTGGCGATCCCATAGAAATTGTAAATCTTGATTAATTTATCAATTCTTCTTATTCTCTTGTTTCTTCCTCTTCCTCTTTCAGTCGTCTTCTGTCGTGAGTTTGATTGTCACCTGATCATCGGCAAGACATAAATAAGCAGCGAATGCGACACAACTAAAAATTCGAAAACGGCAAACATGTTCTTCCAATTGCCAAGTGGAGTGTTAGTCAAGTGTCATAATAACGAAGAGTATATATCAGTGGAATGTGTTCCAGTTTTAGGTCGACTGCGGGAACTCAACCAGGACTGTATCGTCAAATCACTTGGAGGAGCATCAACAGTGATGTTTACAAGTATACTGAACAGCGGGTAGCAGAACCGCTTTAGACCACACCAAAGTTGTTAGGCATGACTTCATTTTACGAACTGACAAAGGGAGGACAGATAGTTAGCAAGTCACCGGAGGATCGAGCGGTCCAAGAAAGTTGAAAGTAGTTTCAACATCAGGTTCGTCGCGTGGGATTGTGCTGAAGGTGGAGGAGACAAGTCTAAGAATGCCATCCTTACGATTCTTCTGCCTTTGTCAAATTCACGGACGATTTCATCTGAGGCAGAGGCTCCAATCCCTTTTACGTAGGCGAACTGCCGCTGATCAATCAATCGTCTGAGTTCAGCTCCAGGATGGGCACAACTAAGCTATTTAAATATTTAAGAATGCGGAAGTTAAACACGATGGGTCGCAAAAGATCGAAGTCATTGTGTCATCTTTGGCATCGAAACTCTCGTTGCTGTATGCCATTCACTGGGAATAAGCTAAATAAAAGCTGTACAAAGTGGCAGAGTTTGGTTGAACAAGGTTTAAATGCGTGAACTGACTCTATCTGAACCGGGAGAGACATTCGAGTGGAGACGCTCAAGAGAGGATCAGACCTCTCTTGTGCTGAATTGAACCCGATCGCCCTCTTCGCTTGAAGGCAGACCAATGAAGTCAGAAGAAATCGACCTGTCCGTTTCAAAGCGGAAGAAGTCGTCAG